TACTCTTAATCAAGATTAGACAAAGCTCTGATATTGTAGGTGCACTCTTGTCAATCTGTCAAGGACAAGAACTCGATGAAAAAATAATTCAGAGAAGTGAGCCTTCATTCAAAGATAAGTAACAAAATATAAATAAATAAGTATGTATATTGAAAGAAAAACTGGAATGGCTATTGCCAAAAGACAAGAAAACTAGAGACCCTTGAAACTAGATTGGAATTAAGAAAAGAGTTGATAAGAGTGAAGAAGGCTTCACTCTTGTCTCTATATATACTATCTAATTAGAGGCTACATGGCGACATTCTATAGGACCTCTAATAAGTGTTGACTTTGTAGGACACATGCCTTGACTTACAAGGCAAGTTTTTCTACATGTAGGCCACATTGTTAGCTTGGTCTTCAAGCTAACAACATGTGTGGCACATGGCCAACTTGTTGACCACGTTTCTAATCCAAAAAGTCAATTAAAGACACCTATAAAGTCAAAGCAATGTCTATAAAGCTTCTAGAAAGCTTTCATACCAAATACTATAGAATTAACTTATTTTTATCTACTTTTATTTACTTCTACCTATTTATATATGTAATTACTGACTTACAGGAGTATATCCGTGACATCCATATAAGAATTGTGCACCTCTCTTCCTACAAGGACTATACATTTCTAATTCAAAAATACCAAATTAGCCTAAAAACCTTGCATAGTCTTCAAATCTTACTTCATTTCTTCATAATGGCTCTCAAGGTGATAAAACTCAATTTTACCAAAGTCTTAAAATTTTCTCTAAAATTTTATAAAAAATTCTAAATAAATTCTAAATAAATTCTAAAAAATCCTATAATATTTCTATAATACTAATATCCATATGAGGCTGTATTTTCTTATCTTGGTGATTTTTTATAGTAATAAAATAAATTTAAATCCTCTAATTATCCTATTTTTTATATAATTAACTAAAAAGACATGAAGCTCTTTTTCATGCTTCTTCTAACTACTAACTAATCATTTATAGGATTCTATAAGTAATACATGTAGATAGGAGCCAATAAATATATTGGTTTCAATAACTAACTCTTAATACTTAACAATAAGAAAAATACTAAACTAACTGAGATAATTACCTCCAAGACTTACTAAGACTCCATTTTTATAACTTTTCTTCTAATAACACTTTTGCAACTTATAAATACTTCTAAATTATAATAAATACTCAAATAGTCAAAAAAAAAACTCTCTATTCTTAATATTTGTATAATTGAATGATTTAAAACTATGTTTTTAACTAATCCACTAATTAAGATCAATTTGTAGGACTCACATCCGTCAATCTCAAAATTTCTTCTTCACACCTCTCACTCAATATATTCTCTCGATAATTTGTAAGGTATATACTTTTTTCTTTGATTTCCTTGGTTTTAATTCTAATTTAGTTGACAATTTTAGTTGAGATGTAATTTTTTGTAGAGCCACAATCTACAAGCATTCGATATGGTTGTTTTCTTATTAATCTTGTTAGATGTATCAATTGATTTTTTTTTATAGTTGTTTGAGGCTAAGCCATTTGTTTATGAGAAACAATAGCTATCCCTAGTATTGGCCTCGGGCATCTTTACAGAGGAGCTTCATTTTCCTGCTTTAATTCATTATCGACTTTGCAAGTATAGAAATCAATTTTGAGACTTTGAACTTGCCTTGTCTTGTTGATACTTGTACTTTGACATTGTAGACAACCTTTAATTTGATGGCTTGGCTCTTGACAATAGAAACACAATTCTTTTTATATCAATACTTGTCATCTTTGTAGTGTCAATGATCCTTATAACGCACCAATCTCCATTTGCGTTGATTGTTGTGCAATAATATTAGATAGCAGCCTAGAACTTTGAGCTATAGGTTATACTCAACAATTTTTGAAATTTATAGCATCAACCTTCTCTGCAATCCAAATTGCCTCTTTGAATGTTTGTGGATCCCTTAGCTCCACCTCTCGCTGGACTCTAAGTTTGAAACCTCGTAGGAATCAATCCATTATCTCCACCTCTGAAACATTGCCAAATTGAAGACATAAGGACTTGAATTGGGAGACATAATCTTGCACCAACCTAGCTTGTGTAAGATTTGTCAAGTGATTGCATGCTATATTCTTTGTATTGATGGGCCAAAATTGATTTTTAAACTTGGTCTCAAACTCCTCTCAATCACAAAATCCGCTTTGAGCTCCATAACTTTGTACTCCATGTCACTACCAAATGGCTGTAATATCTCTCAAATAGTTAGCTGCATATATAATTTTTTCATTGGTATTTGTTCTAAAGAGTTAGAGGTATTGTCACATATTGAAGAACCATTGACATATATCTTTTTGTCTTGTAGTTCTAGAGTATGTACTAAACTTACTCAATTTCAACCTACTAGATGTCAACTCTCTTATCCTTCAGGCTTCTATTTATCCTTGCAAAGTAGTTTTTTGACCTAAGAAGTATTGTATTTGAGCCTCCATATTGGATTGCTTTGACATATTTGTCATACTATAATTTCTCTATTAAATTCTTTTATTGTAATGTCTTCTCACCTTCCGATTGAATTTTTAAGAGTAGCTTGTGATAGCTTCAACATAGTACCCAGTGCAATCATAATAATTGACCTTGAACTAAATGATGACTATTCACATGCTATCAAAAGTAAATAATCTAATATTCACTCTGATACCAATGAAACAAGATTGGACTATCTCAAAACCCAAGATCCTTTCAATCTACAATAACATAAGGCTTCCTCACAAAATAGGACAAAACAAACCATAGCAAAACTGAACGAAACTAAATAGAATATGACATGAAAGACAAAATTGAGCAAACAGAAACAAAATAGAACAGATCTAAACAAAAAGATGTAAAACCAAACTTTATTGAGAGAAAGGATTCAAAGCCATACTTGACCAGATGTCCCAAAAGGCCTTAGACAATCCTATTTATATCTTGTCCTACCACCTTAGACTTTTTAAAATATTCTTAGGTAGTGGATTCCACCTAGATAATCGCCTAAAATCCTTTCTAGAATATTCTACGTTGAATCCTACTTGGTCCATTAATCTAACCCCTTTTTTAAAAACTTCTATGGTTCTAATTATCTATATAATTATTTTATCTATACCATGTTATATAAAAGATCAATGCAAATATCTATTGCAAGGAAATACTACAATTCAATATGGTTGACAAGATATAATTACTTGTCACAATATCAAGAATATTTGTCCTTGTGACAAGTTGGACTATTGTAGGCTTGGACCTTTTTCTATTTGTGAATAAGTCAATCCTATTGCTTATTGATTATATCTACCAAAGTCTATAAAGATCTATCTTATATTCCATGTGTCTCTTCTTGAGCCATATAAGATAGTGAATATCTTGAGAAGAAGACAAATGCTATCTCCTCCAATAGAAGTAGATAATAATCAAGAGTTCAATGTGGAAGAAGTCTTAAATTCAAGGTGGCATTGAAATAAATTAAAAATATCTTATTTATTAGTGTGGATATGATATTAGTGAACGCATATGGGAGCCAACAAAGAATCTTGTAAGTACAACAAAGAAGGTTGAAGCTTTTCATTGACAACATCCATCAAAACTAAGATAAAAAAAAAAGCAAGATCTATGAAAGATGATGATCACTCCTAATGGAACTTGACTTTAGAAGGAAAGATAATGTCACAAATATATGTATTTGCTCTAATAATTACCTATATGATTAAATAGAATTAACTAAAAGTAAATTAATTTCATAATATCTTTTAGAGACGCTTTCTAAAAGCTTTATAGATGTAATTTTGACTTTATATGTATTTATAATTGATTGATAAGTTAGAAACTTGGTCAACAAGTTAATCATGTGTCACACATGTTGATAGCTTCTAGAACAAGCTAACTATGTGGCACATGTATAGAAAACTTGCCTTGCAAATTAAGATATATGTCTTACAAAGTCAACATGTGTTGGAGGTTCTATAGAATATTGCCATGTAGCTCCTAGTTAGATTGTATATATAGAGGCAAGAGTGGATTCTTTTTCATTCTTGACAATATCTTTCTAGTCCTTAATCTTATTTCAAGACTTTTCAATCTTCTTGTCTATGGCAATAGCTATTCTAATTTAGTACATTACCATCTTTGAGTGACTTTCTAATCTTTTTTAAGTGACATAAGAGTGTATTGAATTTTCTTCCTTTGAGATTCATGTCCTTGATAATAAGACACAAATGATTTTTTTGAAAAATAGAATATATACTTCAAAAATTGCTTAATTTTAAAATTAAAAAATAATTATTAAAAATATAAAAAACTCATTTTTATTTTTGGATTAATATTGTGATTAAATATTGGACTTTTAAACATGTCCTAAGTGTAGAAGTTTATTTTTTAGTCAATTTAAGTTATGTAAAGGTTATATAGAATGTAGCAATATCAATTGGAGATGTGGCATTAACAATTCTCTAAAAAATAGTAGTCTTGTTCTAGGATACCATACCATTTCTATTTGTAATCCAAGGAGTGAAAGTTGATGACATCTTTTGATCCAAAAAAAGTTTAGGAATTCTTGAGTTTTCTGTGCACCATTGTGAAACAAGTACCACCCTTCCTATACATACAAAACCAGTCAAATTGAAAAGATTTTGCTCTCCTTCACAACCTCATTTTTTCTTTAACTTGTTGGATGCCTCTCCATCCCACTGTAACGCTTGTGATTAAAGACTTACTCGAAATAGGTCCAAAACCTTAGGTCATTATAAATGATACATACATTTCATGCTGAAATTACATGGGGGTTCGTTGAGCTGGAAGTTAGCACCGAATATCCAATAGTAACCGATATCCATTTGTAAAACTTTCACACACCGACCAAAAGTCCCGGCTTTGCTCGATGAATTCCACTTGTCATACATGGGCCTTTCCACCTGACACGAACAACGTGCCTCCAAAATTGCAAGCTACTAGCGCCCTCCTGTCCTCGAAGCTTGCCTGTCTCCAATTTGCAACCCTAGCAGGAAATATTTTGCTACTTCAAAACAATGTGTGCAGGTCTCGAATGCAAGTCGAGTCGACTTAGAATTGTGGCAGGCGTTTTCATTCGGTCATTTGTGCGGGAGTGGATCCGTTCAGCGGGGCAATCAAGATAGGCTTTTGTTTTAATTTGGAGAGAATTTTGTTTGTATGACGATTCCCAGGCGAGGAGATCCAGAGGAAGGGTACCACGAGCTTGCGCAGGATGCCCGTTATGATCTGCCGCCGTACCCACAATCAAGGCGGGGCAGGTGTTGCGCATTTTCACCTTCAATTGTTATCGTAACTGTGATATTGGTGATGTTGGTAGGGTCTATTACCACGGCAGGATTCGTATTTTGGCCGACTCCGCTGGACGTGCAGGCGAAGGAATGGAAGCTGAATGGTATCAGCATCGTTACGAAGGAGACCAAGTCCATTTTGCCATCTTACCAGCTCAATGTGAGTTTGAACGTGCTGGTCGAGATCAAGAATCCAAACTACGCGGGGGTGGTTTACGACAATGTGACCTTGCGGATTGTGTATAGAGGAGATGATCTTGGGCAGGTGAAAGCGGAGGGTTCCAGGATCAAGCCCAGAAGCACAGCAAACCTTACGGCGACGGTAAATTTGAAAGGCAACGAAATTCTCAGTGATGCGAAGCAGTTGATGGAGGATTACTCGGATGGGAAATTGCCCTTGACGACGTACACGGCCTTCGACGGCTCCGTTCAACTCTGGTTTGTCAAACCGCTTCTTAATGTACGCACGTATGCTCCACTACGGCCCTTGTCGTCTTGGTTTCTGTAGTTACTAACGTTAACACTTGTGAAGTCCTCTGTAAATACGCAAGTATTCTTCTTCTTATGTTGTTCAATTGTGTGACAAGGTGGATCAACAGTGACTAGTACTAAATCCTGTCAGTATCATGCAGGTAACTGTGGCTTGCGATCTGGTTTTAAATCCCGAAGACAAGATCATTTTGAGTCAAGAATGTAGAACCTAGAGGTAGTGGTAGGGAAACTATTTCGGAAATTGGGAACCAGTTGAGTGTTTCTTCATGAATCCGAAACTATATTGCAGTTTATCAGGATTTTGATCTGAACAGTCCAGAGTTCAGATGTCTAGAATTTAATGCAGTTGCAAATTCTCAACTATAACGCCTTCTCATTGACATGGTTAGAGCTTGGGAAGAAAAAGATTTGACAATTGAAGAATTGTAAGAAATTGTACATAAAAAAGTAGGAATCAATCTTTATATACAACAGTCTTAACTTTGTATTTCCATGTACAGACAAATCAATTGTTTATGTTCCAGAATAGGATTTAGCAGGTTGACACTATGTCGACAACAAGCTCTTCGAGGATGGTATTCCACAGGATGTTGTCGATGGAGAGTCCGACTTCAGCAACTTCGGCACCCATATCCTTCCAGTATCCGGGGTGCGTGCTCAAGTCTCTCTTTATCAGAAGGTCGATCGAAGGCGTAGTCAACTTCCGCCACTCCTCTATCTGCTTGTAGATTCGCTCTACGAGTATGTGTTCCTTAGGTCGTGGACTGTAGGTCAGAAGCTGTTGTAGCCACCTCTCCGAGCCAGCGCGGAGGTGCCACAACGTCAGGGCGAAGGCCTCGTTTACACAATCGAAGAGGAGTTTGCGATCAGATCGCCACAGACCTCCTGCGGTATGGAATATATTTACATCCCCTACGTTTTGACATAATGTTCCTAGCGAGTTGTCTGCATGATCAATGTCGCCGCTTTCGAGTTTGTCAAACAGTGAGGGGTCGATTGCCAAGTCTCGATTAAACCAGTTGGGTGAAGATCCTGGAGTGGAGAGGAAGTGAGCGGCTGAAAGGACTTCTCGTACAAACTCCCTCTCGTCTTTAGGACCAGCCGGTGTAATTCGTTCCTTGTATTCGAACGTAAATGTTTCAAGGCTCTGAAACATGGATATGTCCAAGAGCGCTTGCTGAATTTTATCACTGAGGCTGGAGCTTTCGATTGCAGAGAGGCTTGAGGTGATTTCTGAATCCGCACCAATAGACCTCTGTGAGGAGCCTGTAAATCCATCATCGTCCCAAACCTCGGTATTGAACCGCCGCATGGAGTCTGCAACCAAGAGGTCAGGTACGTTAGGTTAAGGAAAATGAGTTCCTCTTGGTAAGTACGAAATACTTTTGGACCGCTTATGACATGAAAAGCAAACATCGGAGTTTGGATTAGTACCCGCATGACTGGATTCGGGAGTTGTGCAAGCTTCGTCATGGAAAGGCGAGTTCAGAATGGATACAGGGCTTGGTTGCTCAGCCTCATCCACTGACTCCGCACAACCCTCAAGAGTCTTCCGGTTTGCAAACGCTGCAGCCGCTGCTTTGTGTTCATGGAAGTCAGGTTCTGTGTCTGTCTCCACAATCTCGAACGTTTTTGGTGAATCGCAACCTACAGGATTGTAGGATGCGCATGAGCTCCAAGCTTCATCTCTATATATTTCGTCGTCCTTGTCAGACTCGGTCGAAATAGACGGGCCGGAGCAAGTGATTCTTTCACAATACCCCCCAGTCAGAAGCCTTGCCTCATCTCGTTGTTCAGATGTGTCGTCTTCCCATCTTAAATCGCCTAGCCCAGCTGCAAACTCCAACTCTTGGAGCTCCACTTCGGAGGAAGCAATAGTCGGCGGATGTATCGCCGAATAATGAGGCTCGTTACAATCAATCGAAGAACGAGGTGAAGAAAATACATCGATCGAAGCACGAGGTGGCGAAAACACATCGGTTGCTCTCAGCACAATTCCATGCTTGGGGTCTCTAGTGTCCTGCGATCTTTTGTTGAAATTACGTGGTGAAGCATCACTCTCATCATTCAAGCCTTCACTTTTCGCTGCACTTCGTGAAGTAGCCATCTCCTTGGAATTTCCCATCTTCAATCTGTCATAAGGAGCAATAGCCGAAGGTGCTACAACCTCAATCGAGGGTGCGCTGCCAATTGGAGTTTTGATCATCCCGTGAATCTCTGCCAAGGTGTTGATCGTCGTCTGCTTGTTGCCAATTGCCCTTGCCTTCTCAGGAGTTTGTGAGTTGAGTTTATCAAGGCTGTTATTAGTTCCTGCGCTCAACGAGTTGGGGATAAGATTTCCATCTGCAAACTCTCTTTGAGCGAAGTTAGTTTCCCGGTCTTTTTTAACCTTTGGAGCACGGTACCCGTCAAGGGAAGGTTGCCCGTAACAGTAAGGTGCCATAACTGACCGGTCCGATTTTTTCTCTGCAAGCTCTTCATCTTTCTTGAAGCTCATCTTTGGAGACCGAATGCAGCAGACAGAATTTTTGGGTCGCGCACTCCCTTTGGACGAAGTAAGCTTGGAACTATCTGAGCGCCCTGCTTTCCTTGTCTTCGGTGTTCTTATAGCTCGTACAGAGCTAGTTTGCTCGGCGTCCGCTGTCAAGTTTGAAATTTGAGGAGCTAATGATGACGACGACGACGACGACGACGACGACGACCCCTCGGATGCAGAGCTGGACCTTCGAGGGCTACCCTCGTTAGATCCCTGAATAGATTCGAGGAGGATATCGTTTACAATGGTTTTAGACAAGCATGCTCTCGCAAGAGATTTTCTCTGGGCTGCCTTGTGTGCAGAAGTTCTTTGAGAGATTTTGTTCTTTGAAATGAAGTCTTCATGGTAGCTGATGTTGTCGTAGCTCACAGATTTACGACTATTTCCTCTGTCACCTACGGACGGTAAAGATTGCAACAGTCGAATTTCTAAAGCCGCTGCTCTCTTCACGATACTACCCTCACCACTCCGAGGGTTCTTTCGTTGAGAGTTACGGACGAGTGCAATCGAACCTCGCAAATCTGATTCTACCTGCTCGTTGGCCGATTCGCTGCCTTCGCGCCCGCTCCATGTGGATTCATCTTTTCGTCTTTCTCGTAGCAATTTACTTGCAGGTTGAGAAGCCGATCTAAAGTTACTCTCACCCTCATGCAGCGAACTTTGATCGCTCCTGAAATAAGTGTTCTCGTTCTCGCCACTATCGATACTAAGGAAACGCTGCCGCCCAGCTAAAGGCCATCCAGCAGCTTGCAAAATAGATAGAGACCGTGAGGAGGATGGCAAGCTGAGCTCCGGAATAATCTTTCCATCGTCTTCAAGATTGATCATGGCAGGGCATTGACGTGGAGTATGCAATTTCGACGGCCGCAAAGGGCTGGTGCGATGATACTGAGGTGACGCTGGAAGCCGCGAAGAAGACTCATGTGGGTGTTTTCGGTCCTTGAGAGCCGACCTCTCCGCCACAGTGTTCAGAAAACGATTCTGCACTTCAGGGATATCAATGTAGCCCGGCGTACCACATGACTCTTCTCGCCTTTCCCGCACTAGAGCTGTTAATGCTGTCGAGCTTTTCGACTTCGTAAACCGATTGTCGTACTTCTTCTGATCAATTCTAGCAGAACCTACCATTCTTTCTCGCAAAGTGGTTGCATTAGAATCCCGCTTGAGCAAGTCTTCAAGTGCCACCAACGGCGTTCCATAATGGCTAGCAATCGTCCTGTCACTGTCCACGTTTCCAGCGCAAGATGAGTCACCTCCAGTGTAACTGTGACTTCGGCGGTGACGTGGTTGGTGAGCCCCGGCATCTGGCAGGGATTCTAATCCCATGAGACGAGCAATCACAGTTGGACCTCGTTTACTCTCATCCTCAATTTCTCCGTCAGTTGTATTACCACGAGGGTCTCTACCGCTGCCAGCGCTCTCTACCGCTGCTGCATCTCCTCGATTCTCCACATTGCAAGTCTGTAACGTGAATGGCGATGCTTCTCATCACGACGTGAAAATAAAAACATCTCCCAATGCTGATACTCTACATTACGCGAACCAACAAGATACTAGATTCCTTGCTCTATCCACAAAAGATGAACCCCAAAAACATGGTGGAAATTACAGTACCATTGCTGATTTGGCCCATGAGCCACAGTCATTGCGAAAACTTCTCGATCTTCCAATCCCCTTCTCCAATTTACCTATAAAACCACCGTCGTCCAACGCTACACAGTTAGAGCTATTCGGGTGTCATTTTCGTCCCAACGGAACTGCTTGAGGCAAGAGTGTAGGCTGGCAAAACATCTGCCTTGACCTTCGCTAAATTCAACGAGAGAACGGGGCTTTAAAATGCCGCGAAGTCTCCGTAATATTGAGGTTTAAGATGCGTAACGGTTCTACCGTTGACAGTTGCATTTTCAAGCAACCTCTATGTAATCTACAAAAAGGGTACCTCAGAATTTTTTCAAACGTGTAATGTCTTCGTTTGTATCCAGTATCCTTCCTAGGCAGCCTTGCCGAAAACCTACCCTAGACAAACGTACACCGTGCACTCTACAGGAAGGAACGAAATTTGAGAGAAGAGCTAAAGCCGTGATGAAATTTCTGGATACAAGTGCAGACACTTGCAGCTTGTCCCATCTCATGGCCATCAGACAAACTGTAGCTTCTTAGGTTACGAGACAATTGCATCTTGCGGGATAGTGGACATACTGTCTGAGATTTAACTGGCTCACTGCAAGGCTTTTTCATCTCCGGAGACTGCATACGCAAAAATCTTCCTAAGAACAAAATTTGAAGCCCAGAGAACTGAAAACACTCACTTGATGGTAGCCGCCTGATGGAAGGGAGGCGCTTGGCAAGTTTCCAGTCGAAGAACTGAAGCAACGCGCTAACACAGCTGTTGCCTCCATACCTAGTCGGAGAGCCCAGATTGTGGCAGGTCATAGGTGCTCTCGGCTCCCCCATGTTCACCGTTACGCTCCCGCTCCAGAGCACGAGCTTGCTTTCTTTGCACTGCGCTCAGAATTCCATGATCACAACCAGTGCACTCTGCAAGCTCTGTGAGGTCGACCCAATTGCAGTCTTCCAGCTCATTACTCTGCGCAAGTGCCGAAGTGGCAGCGTCTCCATGGACCACCGTCGGGCAGCGAACCTTTTAGCCAAGTCTGAAAGTGGTTTCGCACATTCGAAGTATTGGAGTATCCGCGAGGACAACAGGAAGCCATTGACGGCATTCCTTCAGTCTAGCCCCCGCAGTACGATTTGCAACAGGAAGAACCAAAAGGAAGCCTCCACACGACCATTCCCTGGTCGAGCAGGGTCTTCGGGCTATGGCGTAAATAAGCACCGAAGAAATGCAAAACGTCTATTTGGGGTAGAGGGTATGAAATGCAAAGAGAGTAAAAAGATGCGGTGCTAATTCGTGAGAGTGGGCCGCTGGGACACAGCCAGACACTGACACCGATTACTCCGGTTTTTAGTGAAACGGATAGCGAGTATCAAGGTGAGTGGTGCCATTAAGCTCAGCCCCGAGATAATCGGCCATGCTCCACGCTTGGGAACAAAACCGTAATAACTTCACCGTATAAGCCTCGCGCCAGAGAGCTCCTGTAGAGATTGAATCACAAGAGGAGGCAATAACAGCACCGAAGACCAAACTCACAAGACGAGAAGCGCGTGATCGAGACTCTCACAAATAGCTAAGCCAACACCAACTACATTCAGTCGGTTGACATCTTTCATCACGTGGAAGAAGTCGACCCCTACACCATTCATCAACTGCACAAAACGACTGCCAACGTGCTTCCTGTGGCTACTACATTGAAGCGGCAATCGAAAAACGTAATCAGCTCAAACCACGAGGGCACCCATCTACACCCCAGTTGCAAAAACCAGCGTCACCGTGCACGGAAACTCCCAGCCGCGCTGCATTAAGGCGCAGCCGTCGATTCGCCCAGGAGTGGAAGTTAACTAGGGCTGTCAACTTCATTCACGGCACAGTAAAAAAAAAAACTACGCTATACACACTCACGGAGTCAACTCCGACCGCCCCATCTCCCCCATCTCCGTCTACTAGCCCTCTACATTGATCCCACACCAGCTTCCACACTGTGCGACACGATCGACTTTCGCTTACAGACGTTGTCAACGACTCTTGCTCCTCAAAGCCGACAATTCCTCTAAAAGCTGACGATTGCTTCTCTTCTCGACTCAGTCGTTACAAAAACAAAAATGTTAACACAAAAAAACGAAAATCAGGCACTCATCGCTGTGCCGTTTCGCTCCTGAACTTGAATCCGCCACCAGCTTAATCCAACTTTCAACCGAGAACTTGCATCCTTAAGGTGATCCACCGATCCATCGATCCATCGATAGGCACCCTTGAGAGTTGATCTGCGCAGAGTGGAATCGGAGTTGCAGAGCCTAATGCGGATCGGCACAGTAATTGATGCGTGGTGATTAAACGAATCCGTGGCGCAAATCTGGACGCTGGTTGCGGTGAAGATAGTGGTAGAAAAGTGAAAGTGTCAAAGCGAAGGAGAATGATGCTGCTCATAATGGACGACGACGAGGTGCAGGGAACCGCTTCGGGAACAGATGTTCCCAACCGAGAACAGGATTGAGAACAAGCCTCGTTTTACAGTAGAACTCATTGGGGACCCCATCCGCTTTGACTTGCATAGCGGCTTCGTCGTGGGTCAAAGCTCGAATCGCGGGTCCCGTACCCAAGTCAAACCTGTTCCATCCGTGCTCCCAATTTGCAGACCTGGGAGATCGTGCCAGCGTGTCTGTTGCTCCTTTGCCTCAATGAAGATCGCTTGTCTGACATGGCAGTCCGCCACTGGACGTACCCCTGTAATGTCACGCTGGGTCCCACACACTGGGGGGTAAAATCCGTCCCCGTCAGCGCCATCGTCTTCTACATTCAATTATAACAAAATTCCCTTTACGTTGTGTTTATTTAATTGGTTTAAAATTCTTGAGTTGCTTGAGAACTACATTGATTGATATCATTGGCAAAAATACTTTTACACCGATTTTCTACAATGGTTGTGTTTTCGCAAATACGTTTTATTCGGTGATTTTCAATATTATACAAAGTGTGACTTTGGAATTATTAACAATCAAAGTTGTCACATTTATATAAGACAGGTTGTTTGAGTCCATATAACAATTTCTTTTTAATAAGAAAGAATAAAAAGGAAAGAAGAAGAAAAAAAAAATGGAAAAATGAAAAAATGTCTACTTTGGTTTGGAGATTTGATTTTGAAATCAAAGGCTGCATATTGTGATCCAAAAAATAAGACAACGTAATTTTTTTAGAGAATATATTCTTACAAAATACTAGACTGTAAATCTCACAATCAAACTATTTTGAAACTTAATTATTAGTTATATAAATCTAATCTGACTGTTATTCTAAATATTACACCAAGGAGAATATTACACCAAGGAGAATATTAACTTCAATTTCATAAACAATGAGGAATGACAATAGACATAAACCATTGTTAATTTTCTTTCTGTTTTCTGTATTCCTTTCTTGAATACTTCTTTGTATGTATGTATATCCACATCAACACTTATGCTCATTTAAGTGTCAAATTATTCTCAGAAACAGCACAAGTATTTATTTTTTACATTTGTATTTGTACAAGAAAAGAAAATAGATAATTATAGTTGTAACATTATTTAAGAGAATTTTTTGTATTCATCTTTAAATTCTTGTACTGGTAATACATATAATCATAAAAATAAATAGCATTTTCTTCTAATGGCATATTGGAAGGTTGTAACTTAACAAATAAAGTGTTATAAAAACAAATAATAATAGTAATGCAAATTTCTTTCCACACTTAACAATGATGTAAGTCAAATTCTTTCTTTAAATTAGTTAACTTCCTTGCAAAATAGGATGTCCTTCAATTTTCACATGTCACTTGAATATTTTTAACCATCAAAATTTTTGAACTTTAGTTCTTTTAACATGTAAAATTGAAACATTGTGCCTTGTTTATCAATGTTCACAATGTAATTGTTGCTGTCATGATGAAATCACAATAATATCAATTCCAATCAAAGGGTGGATTGAATTAATCAAACATAATATCAACGTGTAAGTTATTTTATGATATGTATGCCCCATCATTAAAATTCATAATTGTCTACATCATACAGAAACATGTGAGATTGGTCATTTTCAGAGTCATTTCACAGGATTGTGGACAATGCTTCAATGCATCCCATCACTTTCTGACCTTTTAATTAGTTTGAATAATATATGTATGTATTCAAACCACCAAAATCAGCATGAAATAATTGAATCTAAAACCAATGGCAAAACATAGCAAAATACATATGTATTATTGATAATCCGATTTTTTAGACTAATATATAAAAAATAAAAAATAAAAAAAATTATGCACGTGAGCAAGGTATTCAGGGTAGTCGTATAATTCTTTCAGGTGAAATTAGATTCATACAAGATATGTTTTTTTTTGTTTATGTATATTCATAATTTGCACACAAAGTGAACGATTTTCTTAATTCTCCATTCAATTATCATTAATTTAAGAAATATAAGAGTTGATGGTATTAATTTATTAATGTTTTTGGAAAGCTGCTACAATTGGTCCCATGTGTGTGTGTGTGTGTGTGTTCTTTTTCTTTTTATTTTTTAAAGTTATTTTTATTCTTATGAATAAGTATAAAATTACTCACATTTAATATCGGGAATAATAGTAATTCTTCATAGTTACTCTTGAGTAACTTTTGGTGGGCTGCAATTTTGATTTTGAATGTTTTAAAAATTCTGATTATAACTTAATAAAAGCAAAACTACTTAAAAAATTGTTGGAGAATACTTTTGTGTTGTACTTGGCACAATCTCACAAAAAAAAAACAAAAAACAAAAAAACAAACAAACAAACAAACAAAAAAAGTTATATTCATATCAATGATAATAGAGTATTATTTTTACTTAATATTCCAAGCTCTTCCTATAGCAGTTTTTGAAAAAAATTAATTAATGAACCCACTTTACAAACATGGTTGATTCTTTACACATAAACAATTGAAAAGTGAAATAACATCTTCACAAATTGTACCGTTTATTGAATAATTTGGTGACTTATTTAATAAGTATATAAATTTTAATCAATTCATCTTTTAATGTTGGATTAATTATTGGAAAATTGAAAATATTTAAAAATAACATACATGTATATATATATATATATACATTGAAGAATGTTTAAAAACATGCACATGTACATTTAGAAACATTCAATACATCTACATACTTCATATTGTTTCATTCAAAGTAGTTATATGAAAAGTATATATTATTTCTGCTTTTCTGTCCAAAAACTATTCTGTTTTTATTTATTTATTTATTTATTTATTTTATTTTTCTGCTTCTCACTACAACATATCTGATTCTATATTCCAATCATATCATGTAAACAGTTACATTAGCCATGAAATTGCTTTAATTAAACCATGATAACTTATACTTTTTCACAACTAAATTTTATAATGTATTTGAATATTTTAGACATCCAGACACATCTGAGTAATTGTTTCCATGTTCCAAGATAGATAGATAAAGTTGCTAAACGAACACCGCCATGTTGTTAACATGATGCCCCCTTGAGTTCTCATGATTAATTCATTCTATCTCTAGTCTTCAACCCCCATTCCTATTCCAATTTTATAAAAATTGATATACAACTAATGAAGCAATTAATGTTTCTTACTATGAAAACAAACCTTCAACCCCAAAACCTTCTTCCATGGATTTTATTCATAATGTCTATTTCAAAAGCCTTGCATATTTTAAATTTTAGTTAGAAAATTTTAGATTCTACAACTACACATAATAAATTCAAATAATCCAACAATGTTTAAATTAAAATAAGATATATCATCTTTTCATTAAAACTAAAAGATTGTAATATAACATTAACAATATTTTAGTTACAAAATAAACTTACAAAAAAAACATAATTTTTTTAAGGTTACTATTATAATTCACAATAATAAGGAAAAGAAACATGGAATGAGGAAAGGGAGGGGGAAGAAGGGAGGGAGGAGGGAGGAGAAGGTTAGTAAGAGGGAACAAAGGCTACAAACAAGGAACTAGGAATAGAGAATAGAATTGAGAATTAAAAGAAGAGACAAGAAATAGATTGAATTAAATATGAGAATCCAAGTGGATATTGTATCAACAACATGGGGATATTTTTTAGCATATATATATAATCTAAAAATAATAATTTATATAATCCAAATAATTGTGCAAATACATTGTTAGGAGAAGTGGAGGCCATGGTGCAAACATATATTCTTTTGGAGGAATATACAATGTTGAGATTGTGTGCAAAAAAAAACAAGACTAGTGACCACAAAAAAGTTTGGCTTACTTGTAGTCACGGCAATAATTATAAAAATAGCACAATGTCTTTTATTGACAAAATATGTAAAAAAAAGACAAGCACAAGATGTATTAATTGCCATTGGTCTATTACCATTCAATGGCACTTTTTAATCAAGGCTAATAAAAATGATGCGATGCTAACAACTAACAATGAACACATTGAATTTGACAAAAAATACAACAATGCTATGCAAATTTTTAATAATATTTGCATAGTAGAGTAGAGAATTCAAGTGAAAAATATAGAGTACAACCATGAGGGGACACTAGACTTATCTTCATTTTTGACTGCATGCAAATTATTTCACAACAATCATGAAACCATCAAAAAAATTTCAAATGTAGGTGTAGCTCCTAAATTCATTCTTGTAACCTTGAAACATCAAGATGTCAACTCTTGACTTAATTTAAAAGATATCTACAATAAGAAAGTTTATTTTCAAAACATGGAGCTCAATAGATGGACATTGCATGAGATATTATTGGATGACTTGCACACTCAAAACGAGCAACATGCCTATCAATGCAATATCAAAGGATAATTCATGCATCTTTTCTTTGTGCCACCCACAACAATGGCACTAGTATGAAAATTTTAGCATGTGATTCTTATGGACTTAAGCTATAAAATGAATTGATTTAAAATGTTGCTATTACATGCTATTAACATGACTTCAATGAATCAAATACTTTTTGCCTATTTTTGCTTCACGATAGTCAAAACAAAGAACATTTTATACCAAGGATTTGATAAAAATTAAAGAAATATTCACCAAAAAATATCAAACACAAGTTATAGTGACAAAAAAGAAATTTGCACTAATGTTGGCTATCCATACTTACTTGCGACACACATCAAGTCTTCTCTATGCTTAGCACATTGTCAAAAATTTCCTATTGAGCAAAAAATATGAGCAAATTTCCTATTGAGCAGAAAAGACTCATCACTTCTTGGACACGACAACCTTATGCATGGATGTATTTCATTGCATGCTTGGCCTGCTCTCATCACATATGATTTGAGATGTTTTTGCATCACCCACCAACAAGCTCACCATGGATCTTTTTTTCAAGCATTGGTCACTTGAAAAACTGGCAACTAGTCTCATTGGTAGAAAACCTAACTTACTTATGAAGATTTATAGCAAGTTGAAGAATATCATAAGCATCTTTTGCCACATCAACAACATATGTTGTAAGAGCAATTTGTTATATTATCATAAGTTCAAGTAACACTTGTCTAAGATTTGACAATCATGCACACATAAGGATGGCCTAGAGGAGCACATGGACATTGTTCCAATAATATCACACAATGAGAGCCATTGGTCCTTTTATTAAATTGATCTTGCAATCAATGATAGTTGAAAAATCTTGTTTGATTAAAAGGAAGGGGGTATATGCATAGTTGATCCCTACATTTATAATAAAACCATTGAATATAATTATGCCATGGATATTTAAAATAATACCAAGTTTTGTTTAGGGAAAAGCAAATGAAACACAATTTTATCAAATGGTGTGTAAGGTTTCACATTCATCCACCACTATTCATCTCCGTGCATCCAGATGCATTTAGGTCCCACACATGAGTTAATGTTCCATGATTGCTTTCACTTTTTGAAGATTCCACACAAAAGTTGTTGTAAGATGGAAAAAAGACTCCACTATGGCTTCCCACGCTCCTCTTCCCTTGCTTCATAAAGATGGGAGTGGATGACAGCAAAAAAGTAAAAGCAGTAGAGATTTCTTTCATATTGATGTTTTGTTACAATCAATTTCCACTTTAGATCTTCATTGCTTCGATATGATGTGCCATTGGAAAAGGAATGAGAAAAGTGATGATTGAGCATATGATTTCTTTACAATACAAGTATAGCCATGGAATGAAATCAGTTTTTGTTTTTTTCCTTGTAAAGACACAAGTAACATTATAATGACATATTAACAAGTGAATGGTGATAATAACATCCTTGTGAATACGACGAGCAAAATATTACTTAACGACGATGTCTGATATATATATATATATATATTTGTTAAAAAGTATGTCTCTGTTGCAATGGTGGGATAAGAAAAAGGTGTTGAGAAGAAAAAAATAAAAAAATAAAAAAATAAAAAAATCATAAGTTACACTACTTAAAAGTCTCCTCTTCTAGCTGACCCCAAGATGTGAAAAGTGAAAATGTATGTAGAAATAAGTGCTGTGTGAATTCGAGATTCATAATTTTTTAGAAATATTGGTATTTTGTAACTTTACAATACCAAAACCTTACATATATATATATATATATATATATATGTGTGTGTGTGTGTGTGTGTGTTTTCAAAAACGATAATACTCAAAGTTAATGCTACCTGGATTACATTTTATGTTAGACAGAAAGCACACATACATACACATGTATATACATTTATCAGATCGTAATGTCGAGCTGTAATAGATTAGAAATTCCACAGCAAAAGATAAGAAAACCCTAAACTCAAACCCTAAGAACGCAAACCCTATAAGGAATGGTGGTTGGGAAGAGCTCACCTGATAAGACCTTGGAAAACTGATTGAACATCCGCAATGCGGCGCTTTCATGGTTGTCAATCACCAAGTAGGGACCACTGCTGCTGCCACTTGGTCGTCGTTGTTGATCTTGCCATAGCTTATCGCACAAAGTCGGAGGAGATGAAGAGGAATGAATGCCGAATATGCGGTGGAGCAGTCGAACAAAACCCGGGAAACAGTATTCTCCCTTTTTTCTTTTGTATTTTTGGTAAAGAATTGATTATCGTGATATATGTATCTCTCTGGGTCCTTTGAATCCATGCAACCATCAATAACTCTGCATCGATTCCCATGACTTGAGGTTAAAAGTTCCCGCAAATTTTTCTTTGTGCGTGCAGACTAAGTCAAGATTCGAATCCTGCTACCGCTCGACACACTCACCCACCTAACTCCAGCGACGTTTCAACTAGGGAAATTTGGCGACAGGCTTATCTCTAATACCCTGGATTCCTCTTATTTGTGCTTCTGGTCAAGAAATCAGTAGCATCTGCTGTAGCTACTTTCCATTTAACCAGTTACGAATTTGTAAAAACACTGAGAAAGACAGAAATGACGACAACTGCACAAGCGTCTGCAAAGAAGGGAAAAGAGTCCCGAGCACAGGAGAGAGAGAGAGAGAGAGAGAGAGAGAGCATACCTTCATTCATAGACGTGAAAACTGACGTAAAGCTTGCAGGAAAAACAAGGCCAGGGAATTGTTGTCCTTCCTGGTTCTGACATGTTCAACAGAAGGAATTGAAATCAAGGTCGTGAAGGAATTGTTCTCTGCTCCGTCCTTGGCAAAGACCCTGGACGGCCCCAGTTGATATCTTTGTTCTCACATGATTGACTGGAACCCACACAGGAGGATTTCATGTTGGGGCGTGGCTTGTCGTGGCCCCACATTCAGCACTTTGTGCCCAGGGAGACTCTTGGAGTGTCCAACAGTCTGGAAGCTAGGTGGAAAATGCTTCACCACTGTCAGGGTTCTCAGCATGTGAACAAAGAAGGGTAGTGATGAAGATCAAGACAGTTACGCGTTGGCAATCTCTAACTTCAAACTGAAAAGGAAAACTAAAGTGCCATGAATAAATACAATCAATGCTAGAAAGTAGTTGCTTCGAGAATACCCAATCAAGAAAATAACAGCAATGATAGCTTCCGAACACTCATGATCTACCTCCCACTAAGCCTCTTTTCAGAACCCTGAATTCTAAGTTTTATGAAGGCTCCATGGGCCGCGCTGAGACACAGCAGTTGGAAGTTGATTGAAACAATGATGTTTAACAGATTACTTGAGATCGTCAAAGAAACAACAGCGCGTGATTTAGGAGATATGTATTTGAGAAAATGTGGATAATAATGCGGATAAAATTGCGCAGAACAGTAAACCGTGTAGAAGGAAAGCACAAACCCTTGACAATGCCTTTCTTTGATTGGTTTATTAAGGGGTCGTCTTAAGAAATAGGGATCTAACCATATAAGAAATCAAGTGACAGCATGAGTTATTTCAAGTTGTTTCTGAATTTGTATTCCATGACCAGAGTTTAAAAACGAATAGAGCTTTTGCTGTTTTCATTACGAGAAAAGTCTGCTCTCAAGATTGTCCGATTACCGGTTCTGCAGACCTAAATTCTCAATTTTACCTTGAGAATGTAAATTATAGTTGACGGACTAGATCAACTGCTTTTATCCACCGGCACTTAGGTCTCCCCTCTCTTTGTCTTCTGAATCCAATGCCGCTAAATCTGTTGATTATCCAGCAGTGACAACAAGTGATTCCCTCTTCAGACTCTGGCACAACAGAAGCTGAAGGTTTGCAGCACAAGTGGGTTTCACACAATCGGCGGATGAATCCCATTCTCCTCCATCGTCCCCCTGTACATGCTGGCACATGTCTGAAGGGAATTTGAATGGGAACTTGAACACGAACGTCCAAACACTTCCTGTGAGGGTCATCTTTCAGTAGCCTCTGGAAAGCTACCCTTGAAACCAATGATCAAGAGAGCGAACTTTTTCTCATTTTATTCATTTTTTATTTGATTTGTTAAAATCACCAAGAGACTGGTACACCACATGATAGCTAGTTCTACTTGAGTGAATCCACAGTCCTTTTGATGCATCGTGAAGCCATGTCTAACCCAAGACACCAAAAATTGTAGCATCTCAGTTCAAATCCCTCCACAACATGATGATCAAATTTTCAAGAAGAGTCTTAGTGAAATGCGGTGAGGGAGAAAGACGCTGCAGCCCATTGATATTTTTTGCATGTTGCACGAAAAATTAGAGCTTAACCATAGTGTAGTGTAGTCACAACTCTCTCATTGCTCTCTAACCTACTTTTTCGAGCTTAACCATAGTGTAGTGTAGTCACAACTCTCTCATTGCTCTCTAACCTACTTTTTCGAGCTTAACCATAGTGTAGTGTAGTCACAACTCTCTCATTGCTCTCTAACCTACTTTTTCGAGCTTAACCATAGTGTAGTGTAGTCACAACTCTCTCATTGCTCTCTAACCTACTTTTTCGAGCTTAACCATAGTGTAGTGTAGTGTAGTGTAGGCAATCCCTTCATTCAATTCACTTCCAATCAAGATGTAAACACTTGAGCATAGATAGGAGTTAGAATTAGGATAAGACATACTTTGCATGAATGGATTCTAATACTTACATTAATGTACTTAGAATAGGCATTGATATGTGTTATCACATGTGGAATGAAATATATTGTACCAATGTCACGGACATACATAAGTACTTTAATAAATATCTATATGATTAGGTAGAAGTAGATAAAAGTAGATAACATTTCATAGTACCTTTTAGAAAAGCTTTTTAGAAGCTTCATAGATGCTGCTTTGACTTTACATGTATTTGTAGTTGATTTGTAGGTTAGAAACTTTGTCAACAAGTTAACCACATGTTGGTAGCTTATGGAACAAGTTAACTATGTGGCACACATATAAAAAACTTGCCTTGTAAATTAAGATATGTGTCTTGCGAAGTCAACATGTTTTGGAGGTCCTTTGGAACATTGCCTTGTAGCTCGTAGTTAAGACTATATATAAAGGCAAAAGTAAAGCCTTCTTCATTCTTGTCAACCCCTTTCTAGTCCTTAGTCTTGTTTCAAGACTTTCTAGTCTTTTTGTTTTTAATAATAGCTATTCTAATTCAATATTATATCATTTTTGAATGACCTTTTAATTCGTTTTAGTGACACAAGAGTATATTGAAGATTTTCTTTCTTTGATATTTATATCCTTGATAGTTTAACAAGAGTACTAACTTACTATTTTTATCTTCTTTTAGAAATAAAAGGATTATCTCACTGCTATTGTTTTATTTTAAAGGTTGTGGACTATCCACCTTTAAATAAAAAATCTTATTTTCTAACACTGATCTTTTCCTCAAAGAGAGTAAATTATCTATCTTTGTGGAAACTTTCATTTGGTATTAGAGGTTGTAGATTATCTTTCTCTAATTTAACTTTTTTAATTTGTTTGAGTTGTCTATAGAAGAAAAGATTATGGATGCTACTCTCAATGAAAGTGAGAATAAATTTGCAACTATTGCAAATCTTCATGAACTTATGAACATTCTAAGAGTAGAAATCTCACATATTTCCAACCTGAATCATAGAGGTAATATGCTTACACCTATGTAAGAAGTTTAGAGTGTGTAATAAAAAGTTGCGCAATTGAAGGAAACAAGTAGATCAACTTCATAACCAAATCTAAGGAATTTTGCTTCTATAAGTATCATAGGGAGAAGGATTAGTATGCTTGAGAAGTTTGATGGAACTAGATCAAAATTTTGAGGATTCTTATAACAAATCAAGGTCTATCTAGGGTTGCATCCTTTTCAATATTTTGATAGATTTATTCAAGTTAGATTCATAAGTATACTTCTTTTATCAAGAAGTGCTCTCTCTTAATTTGTACCTTTAATGAAAAAATATTTGCAACTCTTTTATGATTTGAATTCATTCCTAAAAAGTGTTTATAGCCATATTTAGAGAAAGTGATTGAGAAAGAATAGCAGAGATTAAGTTCTTATCTTTACGGCAAAGATCATGATCACCCATTATATATGTTGTTAAATTCCAAAACCTTGGTTATAACGTGGATAGGAATAAGCCCTTATCAATCAATTTTGATATAAATTAAAAGATAATATCAAAGATTTGTTACTAACAATGTCAAAGATAGAATCTTTAGAATAATTTATTGTTCAAGCTATTGCATGTAAAATTTGATTATTTGAAAGATATCAAGAATAAAGATTTGATCAAAGAGGAACAAATCAAATAATGACAACACCTCCCAAGTTTTTAGAAACTTATTTAATAAGGCCAATATCAATGCAAATTGATATGGAACATTTTAAACTCCTTACATAGCAAGAAAATACTCAACAATATCAAGTGGGCTTATGCTTATATTATGGAGAAGCTAAACACTTTACTCAACATTGTGCAAAGAAATAACACAATGACATAATAAAAAGCATGATTGCCAAAGAAGACGAGGTATTGAAAAACAAGTTTTTGTAGCTACAATAGAAACCATGCTACTGAAATCTTGCATATCTCGTAATAAAGGTCCTATTCTCTTTTTAGACCCCTCACATTGTTTTACAATAGAAGTTTATTTAAAACCAAAAAATCACAAAGTCATGGCTTTGTTAGATTCAAGAGCCTCAACTTGTTTTATAAACAAAGATTTTATCAAAAAACAAAAGATATTATTGGTCAAAAAAACTAAACTTGTACATGTAGAAGTCATAGATAGTCGTTTGCTATCTGCTCAAGATATTACGTATAAGATTGTTCTTTTAGATGTAGCAATTAAAGATTATAATAACATAATAATATTTAATATAATAAAAATTCTATCTAATTTGGTTATTTTAGGATTATTGTAGTTAGAAAAGTATAATCCTCATATAGATTGGATATCTTATAACATTAATTTTTTTGATAGTTTAACCAAAAATTCTATTAATCAGGTAAAAATACATAGGTCTAGTACATCCAAATCCTTACTGGTAGGTGCAAGAGCTTTTATGCATGCCACAAAAGAAGGATTATCTTTTGTTTTATATGCCATACCCATTTTTGATGGCAAAAAGTCATCAAGTGGTATTCCTAGCTAGTATCAAGATTTCTATGATGTTTTTGAAAAGAAGAATGAAAATATTCTTCTAAAGCATCATTCTTATGATTGTTCCATTGATCTTCACAAAAGAATCTAACTACCATTTGGACTAATCTATAGTTTATAACAAAATAAGTTGGTTGCACTCAAGAAGTACATTGATGAAAATTTAGCTAAGAATTTCATACATTATTTTAAATCTCTAACAACGCCTCCTATCTTATTTGTAAAGAAAAAAATAAAGATCTTTACAGAAATGTGTGGACTATTGAAGACTCAAGAAGATCATTGTTAAGAATATACATCCTCTATCTTTGATTTTGGGACTTCTTGATCAATTGAATCAAGTAAAGATCTATACAAAAATAGATCTACAAAGAACATATAATGTAGTATGTATTAAAGAAGGAAATGAATGAAAAACCACTTTTTGAATTAGATATGAGTATTTTGAATATAATGTCATGCCTTTTGGATTCACAAATACACCATCTATTTTTCAACATTTAATGAATGATGTCTTTTGTGAGATTATTGATAATTTTGTCATCTCTTATTTGGACAACATCTTAATCTACTCTAAGAACATAGAAGAGCATGAAGTTTATGTTTGTCATGTGTTACAAAAATCTAAAGATATAAGATTATATGTCAAATTAGAAAGTATGTATTCTATATTATTCAAGTTAATTTCTTAGGATATATCATTTTTAATGAAGGACTAATGATGGATCCAAAGAAGGTCCAAACTATCATAGATTGGAAGATTTTAAGAATAGTAAAGAACATGCAATATTTTTTGAGCTTTGCCAATTACTATCCGAGCTTCATCTAGAATTTTTTTAAGTTGCAGCTCCACTTATACATTTGTCTTGTAAAGAAAAATTTAAGTAGAGTAAAGAAACCAAAGTATCTTTTGATGGTTTAAAAAAAGAATTTACTTTTGTACCAATCTTATATTATGTTGACTTTTTCAAGGAATTTTTTTATAGAAATAGATGCATCAAAATTTGTCTTGGGTATAGTATTATCACCAATGGATTCAGGTGAGAAATTCCATCTAGTAGCTTTCTATTTCAAAAACATTTGAGTAACTAAAATTAATTATGAGATCCACGACAAAGAACTCCTTGCAATTGTGGATTCATTTGAAGAATAACATCATTATTTAGAAGGCACCTCGAGTCTAGTCAGTGTATATACAAATCACAAAAATCTCATGTATTTCATGTCAACACGTGTTTTAAATTGTCACCAAGCTTGTTAGAGCATGTCTTTATTAAGATTTGATTTTAAGATTACTTATGGACCTTGAAAACAACAAGGTTTGATACATGTCTTTTCTAGACATTTTTATCTTGTACCAAAAGAAGAACATGCATCTTTTGATCAACAAAAAAGATTCTCTTAAAATCAAAGTATTTTCACCTTCGAGCAACAAAATCAATATTGATTGTTGATTCAACATTTGTTAAGCAAATTCAAGGAAGTATATCCTCTGATCTTCTTATCCATGATATTAAGAATAATTCTTTTAAGTCTCATAATACTTCCAAGTTTGAGTTTAAAAACAACCTATTCTATTTTGAGAGACGATTATACATTCTATAAGGTGAAGTACAATTACATGTTCTTCAAA